TTTTTTTTTTTTTTTTTTTTTCTGGTTTTTTGTTCAAATCTGCGGTGTCATGGCCTTGCCACTGATGGGTTTCGCGCATTTCAAGTTTGTGGCTTCGTAAGACTGTCGCATTCTCTCATACACTAGCGAGCCACCTCTGTGTTCAACCATCCATCATTTTTGGAACGTTTACAAGTTACCGTAAACCCTAAATCCAAAACCTTAAACCAATCTAAGAAGCCTGCCCAACATGGGCGTCGAAGTGCAAGTGACGAAAACTGCCTTTAACACCCTAAACCCTATAAGCCCTACCTGTGAATGTGAACGCCTGCTAATTTATATGAGGTGGTGCGAACGCACACGAAGTGGGCAAACGCATGCTTTTGTTACTTCGGGGGGGGGGTCATCGCTGAAGCACCTTGTTGCTTCAGAGCAGTGTCCCTGCAAGCCTCTTTCGGCCACTGCTTTGTGTAGATCCCGATGCCTGAAAGTGATGCCATAATCCAAATCAGATCGACTTATCAACCCTCTCGTGTAGGTCGATAGGCCAAATCCCAGAAAAGATGGCACCCTAAACCCTATAAACCCTAAGCCCTATAAACCCTAAACCCTATAAACCCTATAAACCCTATAAACCCAAAACCCAAAACCCTAAACCCAAAACATGTCACGTTGCATTTTGAGCCCCGGCAAAGCCCCGGGGACCAGTCCGACGGGCCGAGGTGAGTGGACGGCCAGCGCTGCCTGGGCACAGCGAAACTTCCCGGACACCCTCCGGTTTAGGGTTTAGGGTTTAGGGTTTAGGGTTTAGGGCTTAGGGCTCATAGGGTTTATAGGGTTTATCGGGCTTATAGGGTTATAGGGGTTAGGGTTTATAGGGTTCAGGGTTTAGGGTTGTGAAGTTTCGGGAAGGAGGTTCGGAGTGTCAATAAGGGTAGTTCACTTTTATTACGGTCCTGTTTTTTGTTCCCCATATAGTACAGCACCCTTAGAATAGGAACCCTACCTAGTTTAGAGAACTAAACCCTAAACCCTAAACCCTAGCCATAAACAAGAAGAGCTTCAGCTGGTAGAGCCCGGCCTTTCCAGGGAGCAGGACAGTACGGATTCCAGACAAAGCTCGACTCATTCCTGTCTGTTTTCCTGAAGCCCTCAACGCACAGTGATTTTCCCGTGCTGGGCGGCAACCCCAAGGAAGGAGATATCAAGCCAACAACCCAAAGAGTAACCACAAGCCTTCGGACCATGGTTCGGCGAAGCTGCTGCCCCTGGCTATACAACTGCCGTTCACCGAAGATCCTGTGGTGCTTCGGGGCTCTTGTTGCATCATCTGCATGGGGTCTCTGCACCTTTGGTTACTGGTATTTCTGGTCTCGAGGTTTCGGAACACCCCCCGTGGTTTCGCCCAAAGTGTGAGATCTGCCGGTGAACCCTGGAATAGTTGGGGGGTGTGTTCTGACAGGCCAGGGGTACTGTATTCCAGGGTCGTAGCAACCCATCATATACCAACGTCTCCAAACGGATCCTACTGTTCAGCAGTCTTTCTGAGGGTCCATTCCTTGCTGAGGTTCCTGACCTGCTAGGTGCGGAGCATGCACATGGCACAGTGCTTCTTTATTGCTTTGTCTTTGCCGTACTGGCGTCCTGCCAACCTTTTGCGAACCACGATACGACGGTAAACCTTAAGCTGAACCGGGCCGCCTATGCCCCACTTGATTTTGTCTCACTCGCGCAAGGACAAACCGTTCTTCATCAGCGAGACTGGTGCTGGAGGCCTGTCTACTTCAACGCAAACACTGAAGTAAAGTTTGAGAGACGGGCCCTGACCCCGGAAGTATCTGCCATTCTTTTGTGCGATATCAGGCACTTCCATGTCACATGCCTTCCAGACCCCCACAAGCTACCCCTACATGGGAGATTCCGAAAATTAGGGGTACCTTATTTTGGGTTCCTTATAATAAGGATCCTGTTATTAAGGGTACTATATTAGGGTCCCTATTTTCGGAAACCCCCACATGGACCCTAAAGAACCTGCCTTTTTAGGGCTCCTTCTCATGATTTCTTTACATAAGTCCTTAAAAAGGTAGGTTATTTGGGGTTAAGGTAAGCCTTAAACCAACCCTAAACTCCAAACCCGAAAGCCCTTGTTCTTCGAACAATGTTTCTCGAGCCCAGGTTTCACGCTCATTCAACCTATCTCAGGAAGAGTGTAGTGATTGCCAAGTCTACCTCTCATGGTTGTGGGCTCAGACCTCCAAATAGCACCTGTGATGCCCCAGTCATCTAGCATTCTGGCCCTAAAAAGAAAACCGCGGATCCCACAAGTACTACGCACCTTTGCCCAGGTCTCTACGAATGGGCCACCAATGCAACAGATGCATACTGGACGCTCAAGTACCAGCAAGAGGCCGATACTCATCAGCGACCAGATCCCAAACCACGAACTGTCACGTAAGTAGCAATAGTATATATCCCTGCATGCATTGAAGATTAAGATTAAGGATTCAGAAGCTAAACCAAAAAACGATGCCTGTATTCGCAGGCTTGGGGGGGGAAAGGCTATCATCCAAAGACGAACTCACGGCTGCTGGACCCTGAACCCATAAACCCTTGTTCATCAGCTCGCAGCCTTTTAGGTGCTACTGTAGGGTTTTGGTATGGAATGGGCCTGTGTTCCCAATCAGCCTGCAACACCCCGCTCCGCAGAATTTCTGTGATAACAAGACGGTCTACCAACTAATCTCCACCCATCCCACATGGCCCTAAGCCTTGACCGCTTCATCCGTCTGACACCAACCATGCCGACTTTGCCCTAAGAGCCTCCGAAAGTGCTTTAAAAAGCTACCCCATGCCTGCAAACCCTGAGAGCCGGCAAACTACATTAACCTACCAAAACCCACTTGTTTGTAGGTTCTTATTATAAACCCTAATATGGGATTTATAGGGAACCTACAAAAGAGTAGGTTCTGGTGGGTTAAGGTAGAGCTGGGACAGTTGCAGGTCATCGATGCGGATGTGGACGTTGCTCT